CCAGAAAAAACTATTATTGCTCGAACATAGTAGCGTAAGTATCATGACTCGTAACAGTTGTTGTACTTAACCGGAAAACAACAGAAACGGAAGACAAGCAATGAGAATAATCAACCCCATGTTTAATTTACCGGGACTGAACAGGGTTTTATAAAGTTGCTGGTTGATGGGCCAAGCAAAGGAACAGAAAACTCAGTATTTCTGCAGGACATTTGCAATACTAAACATGCAGTGCAATAATTGTATACAGATTGTACATAAAATAAATAGAAAAAAAGGAAAAAAACTGGTTTTGTTTTATTTCTCCATATGACAAACAATATGTTAATTTATGCTAATTATTATGCAAATTAGCCACGACTCTATGAAAAATTTCTGGGAGAACACTGTTCCAGCTATATTACTATAAACATAACTATATATCTTAAATTTGATAACTAACGGGGACTGTGCCATGCATGGCTTGTTCATCAAAAATAGTACTTTTGACTTGTTCTTCAAAACCAGTAGTCCAAATTCTTTGATACTTGGTACACATGTAGCTTGGATGACACTTCACCCAGTCATTAAAAGTGGCCCAATTTATCAAAAATTTCAGAAATTCATGATTAGTCCTTTGGACCAACGGTCCAACGAACTAATGCTATCACAATCTGTAGGCCGTGTGCTGTAGACAAAGATATCTCAAAAACCCTTCAGTCTATTTTTCTGAAACTTGGCATTATAATAGCTTGTATGAATATCTCCAGGGCATTTTTTAGTCCCCGTTCGGACGCAGTCCGAAAACGGGGACTTATGTTTTGCCCTGTGTGCGTCCGTGCGTCCGTGATCACCTGTATCTCGAACATGCATGGACCGATTAAGTTCAAACTTCACTCATACATCACACATTATATGGGACATATGCACATGCATTTTTTTCATGATCTGATTAACGATAGCCGAATAGCGGCCATTTTAAGGCCGAAAATGCATCAAAATCGCACATTTTCACCATTCCGGAACCGGATCTCAGTTATGCATGGACGGATTTTGTTCAAATTTGGTACATACATTAAACATAATAGGACCTTGATGCACGTCATTTTTTTTTTTGGATCGGGTTCGAAATGGCCGACTGGCGGCCATTTTGTTTTAAAGAATTCAGTTCTGGATCCGTATCCAAGACATGTCTGGATTGATCAAGTTCAAACTTCACACACACATGGTACATCATGTCACAAATATGTATGTGCATTTGTTTCATGATCTGCTTAACAATAGCGAATGATGGCCATTTTAAGGCCGAAAATGCATCAAAATCACGTATTTTCACAATTCCAGAACCGGATCTCAGTCATGCATGGATGGATTTTGTTCAGATTTAGCACAATGTGTTGTACTTATGCAGGTGCATTTCGGTCATGATCTGCTTTGAATGTATATGTCACTCAAATATGAACGGAACGAGGACGTGTCATTGACAATGACTTGTTCATCAATGTATTGAATATAAGTGCCCTGGGAAATAGTATAATTATATTGCTTGAGTGAAAGAGGCTGATGAGACTGTGTCACAACGCGTTCTATTTATTTCCAACGCACGTGGTCGGCCCCTCTGATTGCGTTTATTTTGTATTTTTATTAGTCCCCGTTCGGACGTAGTCCGAAAACGGGGACTTATGGTTTGCCCTGTGTGCGTG